AAAAAGCCTATGAAAAAGGTACCAGGGGCATCTCATGGGGCCCCCTACTGACCCAGGGCCCTCGAGCAGTGCCCGAGTTTCCAAATGGTTAGTCCGCCCCTGTTTACAGTACACCTCTGTTTTTTACATTGACAAATGTGTCTTATGATGGACAGCAGGATCTTTAGGGATTGTACTGTATGCAGCTGAAATGTTTTAATTTTAATAATTATATAATGATCATTTTTTCAACTTTTTCACATTTATTCTACAAATGTGTAACCCTTGGATATGGTAAAACTCAGCCTTGTTCAAGCCCCCCCCCCTTTTTGTTTTTCATTTTCTCCCCTTTTCCCTTTCTGTTATGAGTTATTGGTTGTTTCTAGCGAACGTCCATGTACCAATGCTGTTTGCAACTGCAGATTGTACAACCATCCTTGCCTTATAAATAAAGAATAAAAAATAAGACTGTGCCAAGGTCAGAGACTTATTTCTCATTTCCGAAGTCTCAACAGATCCACTTAGATAGTGACTGCAGCTTTAATGCCTGATTCCAGGCAAACAGCTAAAAAGACAGATAACATACATATAAGAGCTCTTTTACCTGCAGAAGGATTTATATTTCTATCCACCCAGTTCTGAGATTTCCACATATGGGCTACACAGAACATCTGGCAGGACAGTATTCCTGGTTTTTCTGTGCTGCAGTTATAATAATAGGTATTTATACAGCACTGACAATGTACATAGTTCTTTATATACTTGTGCATTCACAGTCCCTGCCCTCAAGGATCTTACAATCTACTATTCCTATTTAACATGCATACATGGGCCAATTTACATACCAGCATTTCTTTGGTGTGTGGAAGGAAACTGTAGGACCCAGAGGAAACCCACACAAGTACAGGAAAAACATGCAAACTCCATGCAAATATAGTCTTGATCAGGATTCAAAGTGGCGACCTTAGTAAGGCAACCCAGGCTTGTCCATCCCTGGCCCATGGGCTGCATGTGGCCCAAGATGGCTATTAATACAGCCCAACTGAAAATTGTAAACTTACTTAAAAATATTGTTTTTTTAAAACAATTTTTGTACAAAATGCATTTACACTTAGCAAACACATGTAGCCAAAGAACAATTTGACAGTGTCTCTTTACTGGACTTTTATTAGTTTTATCTTCCCAAAGAAAAATATCCCACTCTTCACAATCACGCATGTCATTAGTTTTCAGCATTATTATTATATTTGTGAGTAACCATTTTCAATGATGAAGCACACAAAGGGCAAAATTAGAACCAAATTATCTGATGAACACTGTGAGAATTCATTGAGAATTGCTACTACATCCATCCAACCAGATATCAATGCATTAGTTTATCAAAAACTATCAAAATCGTTTTATATTGCCCTATTTTACTTATTACTTAAATAGGTACATTATCTATATCAGTGATCATTACCTTGTGATCTACCTGACTTTTCCTGCTTGTCAGCTATCCTTATTGTTAGTTCTATTTTGTGGCCCAAGACAATTCCTTTTCTTCCAAAGCGGCCCAGGAGAGTCAAAGGGTTGGAACACCCAAGTGCTAACCATTAAGCTGCCATGCAGTTCAATGACATTTATAGATCACTGATAAATTTAACTTTGTGTTCTTCTCTCCTTCCATCAGCATGCTCTTTGCACTGTAGCTCAAGAAACTGGCTGCAAGAGACTGATATCAGGTCAAATTCAGGTATTTACAATGCTTGCATTTAGGTCTCATTCACATTAGAGCTAAAAAAAAAACTCCTGTTTTACAGAAGTATGGGATTTGATTTTATTTCAAAATTATACTTACCTAAGTGGGTGCATAATCAGTTTGATGCTGCATCTTGCATCTGTCCCCTGCCGACTCTAAGGGTGAGAACTGAGTGATCACGTGACCGCTGACTGCTCAGTTCTCCCCTGCACTCTGAGCAGAGAGTGGTAACTGTCAGTCACTGCTCTCTGCTCTGCCCCCCTCCTCCAGCGCTCACTGAAGTGCCGGGCTGTGAAGGGGGTGGGAGCTGCTGTCTCAGGTTCTCAGCAGCACTCTGAGAGGCTAAGCCAGGTGCCAATCGAGGGATCTTGGTGGATCCCGGCTTTGCAGTTGGGATCTTTCCCCAGCTGGACTGGCTCTGTGACGTCAGCCGACAGCAGGCTTTAGTCCACTGTCAGCTGAAAACGGGTCAAAGGAGTGCAGAATGAACTGCACTCCTGTGATCCATAGGAGAAGTACTGCCAAAAGAGCTTTGGCTATACTTCTTCTTTATTGCCAAACACATGCCAAAAACACAAATGTGCATAAACATGTGTAAACACACATAAATGCTCATGCAAAAATGTAGCTTTTACAACATTTTTCTCTGCTGCTTTTTTCTAGTAAGGAAAAAAGGCATCTAAAAAAATTAAACTTATTACGCAAATACATATTTAGTCTTTGCATACATTTGATTCATATGCTTTCTTTATAGTTTCCATTAGATTGTTCATAAGCTCTATTATTTCTACTGTGGGGATAAAGTGTTAGAATAATTATAGCCTTTGCTATTATTCCATTAAACATTACCAGACGGCAAATGTAACAAACTATGTGAATTCTTCAAATACGGCGAAGCGGCCTGAATTTTTTTTTCTCTATCAAATTATCTGAGATAATACAGAAAATGATGCATGAGTTAAATGTCCCTTGATACATAGCACTTGCTAGAAGAGAGTGTAAATACATGTGTAAGCATTCATTATCTGTGATTCTTTGTACTCCACTGAGAATTAAACAATAATTCCGCTGTACAATTACAAGACTTCTCTACCAATTGCTAATGCCATTAAATATATATCATGAAAGTATCCACAGCCTAAGTAGACAATCAACACAATACACGGCCATATAAAGCATTTTTAAATAATGAATTCTGATACACACATTAAAAATAAATTAGGCACACTGGCATTATTTTTTAATACTGCATCATGATTTAATTTAGCCATTTAAAGTGGATTTGCATCTTTTCTACAACAATGATACTGAGAATTACTTTGGGCATATGAACACATTCAACAACAAATATAATTATTCATCTCCTTTTTACCTCTTAGATTCTGGGTCTCAAAGTTCCTTTTAGCCCAATAGATGACAAAGTGCTTGTTACCAAGTTGGAGGCTATCTCTGAGATCTCTAGCGGGATCTCCACCAAGATCCTCCAAAATGAATGGAAGGGGAATCAAGGAAGCAGATGGAGAAGGCAATGGTGTAGTTTGGTTAGTGGATCATTTTGGGATTAAATCATCCTTCCTAGTCCCTGTCACAGACTAGCAGATTCAAATCTCAGGGAGAAAAAATGCTTGTTTCATCTAGAGCAGAAGTCTCCAAATGATATCTTGAGGGCCGAATCCCGCTGCGTGATTTTACCATACAATAAGGAGCACCAGACCAAAACTGAATAAAAGAGTGCAAAATCATTTTAAATGTTGATAAAAAAAAGAAATATAAAAACAGCCAATATGTTTTGGGGGCAACATCACTCCCCTTCAATAAGCAAAAAAGAGTCATAATATTAAAAAATGTAAAAAACAAAATATTTAAAGATCAGTATGACTATGCTGATGAAAGGGGAGTGGCTTTGCTCCCAAAACGCACTGGATATTTTCTATGACTTTTTTTCTGAGTACCGGCCCCCGTTGCCAGTACCATGTGACCTGCTGTGACCAATCACAGCAGGTCACATGACAGTTGTATACAATGGATGGCTTCATTCATGCCATCCATTGTATACTAGTGCCTAGCTGTGAATGGTCAAAGCAGGTCACATGCACATGTCATGTGATTAGCTGTGGCCAAATCACAGCTAAGCACAAAAAAAAAAACCTGAATGAAACGATGTCATTCAGGTAAATTCTTGCTTATAGCAAAGTAATTATTTTCTATACGCAAATTGTGTAAAAAAAAAAAAACTAAATACTGATCACTTCACTATGGTAAACATTGTACTACTTTGGTCATAGTAAAATATGAAAAAAAAATCTTAAAAAAATGTAATAAAAAATTTAAAATAATAAAAAAATATATATATATATATATTTTTTTTTTTTCATATACTGTCACCAGTCAGTGTCCCTGTTCACTGCCATGCCAGTTATATGATGACGCTGTACTGCACTGGTGACAGTATGTAAAAAAAAAAAATTGTGAAAATAATTTTTTTAATTTTTTCATTTTACGAAAAATTATGACAAAAAAAAAATACAACTTCAAAAAACTCGCCATGCCTCTTATGAAGTACGTCCGACTGTCTACTCTGCAAAAAGGAGTCATTTGGGGATATCTGTACTATTCTGACATTCTTGGACCTCAAGAAATTAGATTGGCCGTCAGTAATTCAGGATTGATCAATTTTCAGATCTATACCATAGTTTGTGAACTCTATAACTTTCCTACAAACGAAATAATACATCCTAATTTGGGTTATTTTAACCAAATACATGTAGCAGAATACATCTTGGCCTAAATTTCTGAAGAACAATTATTTATTTGTAAACTTTTATAACAGAAACAAAGAAAAATTCTTTTTTTTTTTTCAAAATTTTTGGTCTTTTTTTGTTAATTTAGCAAAAAATAAAAACCCCAGCGGTGATTAAATACCACCAAAAGAAAGCTCTAGTTGTGTGAAGAAAATGATAAAATTTTAGTTTGGTTACAATGTTGTATGACCGCGCAATTATCATTCAAAGTGTGAGAGCGCTGAAACGTGAAAAATGGCCTGGGCAGGAAGGTATAAAATTGCCCAGTATTGAAATGGTTAAGTTTGCGTTTACTAACTGGTTTGGTGCTGTTATTTTTATATAGCACTACTATTTGGTATTAAGTATTACTTTCAGTGATTTCCTAGGATATTGTATATTTGTGTCCTCAACAGGGGCGGGACTGACCATTTGGAAACTCGGGCACTGCCCGAGGGCCCGGGGGGTCAGTAAGGGGCCCCATGAGATGCCCCTGGTACCTTTTCCATAGGCTTTTTTGACTTTGGGCAAGGACACAGGGGCCCCATGATCCCCTATTGCCCGGGGGCCCCATGAGTTGTCAGTCCGCCCCTGGTCCTCAACCTGGTATGTCAGAGGGGCAAAGGTTCTTGAGAAGGTTGATGCGCAGAATAGGAGACTCATCCTGTCCATTGGCTCCTGCAGGAATAGCACTACAGGTATTATAACTAGATGTGAACACCTTCTAAATCAGATCGTTGTTCTATAATAGAGTGTATGTAATTTTGTAGAGAGAAAACACTTTATCTTAAAAAATTAATGTATATTTAGGATATGACACACCTATCCATCAACTCCTAATTCTTGAGAGGAAATCCCCGACAGACTGGTTTTTGTACTGTTATATAAAATTAATATACAAGAAGTAGTTAGGCACCCCTTTCTGTTTTATCTAGGTTAGGCAGAATTCGCTGTCATTACTAATACCTAATTTATTCAATTTCTTTTCCACATGAAAGATCACAGCAAATAATATTACAACAGATAGATTTTTCACTGTTAGCAGCAAACTTTCCAGCCAAGTCTACAAGTCAGTATACATCCTGGAGCCCAACAATAGATTAAAGGGGAACTCCAGCCAATATCGTATTTAAAATCAACCCCAGCCTTTATCATTTTAATTATTTCTATGATAAGGTTTATAGAGTTTTCTGGGATTCCTACTTTTCTGGTAAAGAAGATAAAAACTCAAAAGAAAAGAACAGATACTGGAACACCTTGATATGTTCTAGTTCCTTCTTTTACATTCCTCATCATATTACATAAGTGAAATCTATTATGGACAGGGCAAACTCTTCATAATGGTCACAATTGACCCGACCACTTGACATCTGACAATACTGTCTCTGAGAGGTGTAGGAAATTGTCAGGTTGTTGAACACTTAGGCATTTTCCAAAAACCAAAATATAAATTTAAGTGGACTTTATATTGTTTTCTTATAGAGATTTTAAAACAAGCTACATGCGCATTCAATTAAGAATAGGTTATTTATTGTATTTAATAACTTTCACTTTTGGGCCTCATGCACACAGGGCATTTATTTAACTCTCCTAGAAGCCAGTGGTGTTTTTGCAAAAAAAGTGTCTAAAGCTTTTCCAAGCTTTTAGGAGCTTTTACAGGCATCAATCTCTTGGGCCTAATTCATTTCATTGGCCAGAATAGCACTAGGCGTGTTTAGCAGCTTTTAGTAGCATCAAGCATTTTTTCTGCCCAAACTCTGCTGCTCCTGGATGCACTGGCATTGGGTTTTTTTTTCCTAACTCCGAAAGCCCCTGGCACTGAAAGCTTCTAAAAGTCTATGTGTGCATGGACACATAGAATAACATGGAGGGGCATTTGGAAGCAGTAAAAAAAAAAATGCCTGACACAGAAGTAGTTTTGTTCAATACACATAACATATTTTTTTTCAGTCTATGAAAATTATGAGTGAAGTTAAAAGGATTCGAATTAGTGTTAAAGTGATTGTAAATGCTTAGATTTTTTTTTTGCAATAACAAAAAGATTTATACTTACCTGGTTTATGCAATAAAATTGCACAGGGCAGTCCTGAACCTCCTCTTCTTGGGTTTGCAGCTGGCTCTCCTCGCTTCTCCCCTCCACCGAGTCCCCCCCATAGTAAGCCACTTTCTCTTAACACAGACAGTGGGGTAAAAAATGTTTAAGCATTAGTATCACCCCTCACCCCCCCCCCACTCCCTCTTCACTGGCTTTGATTGACTGGTTTTGATTGACAGAAGTGGGAGCCAATGGGGGGGTGAGGGGTGATACTAATGCTTAAACATTTTTTACCCTAATGCAAGGAATGGATTAAGGCAAACATGTGTAGGTTATATAACCACTTTAATATTAAATGTACAGTTAATGTGAGGGTTAGGGTTACAGAGAGGGGTTAGTGTGAGAGTTGAGGTTACAGGAATGATTAATGTAAGGGTTATATGCGAGGGTTACATGTGAGGGTAATGTGAGGGTTGAGATTTGTAAAGGGTTAGTTTGAAACTTACAGTTAAAGAGGAACTAAGGTGGCTTATAGATGAGTTGTTTTTTCAGTGGGCTGATTGGAAAAAGGATGAACGGATTTCCCGATTTCCCCCATTCCTTCCTACTGTATTCTGACAGCAGGGACTCCTACACTGATCAGTGGCTGCAGCCGTTGATCAACAAAAGTATTTTAGCATGCCCATTTGACAGAAGTCAATCATTAGATCAGCCTTTGTCAAGAGGGAACGGCCACAGAGAGACCAAAATTCAGCTGGTAGGTACTTTATTATAGAAGAGATATGCAATGTCTCTTTTGAAATGTAAGAGACTTACGCCTGCTTACAGTCATCTTTGGAATGTACAATAAACTGCACAAGTACAGCTCAGTTCTCATACTGGTTCAGTGCTTGTGTGTTGAAATGACTGCACTTCTGTGCCATGCTGGCCAATGAAGGCAGTCACAGCCTGACACTCAGAAGAAGGGTAGAAGATGCCAGTGCTGGGTAGAAGATACTGGCAAGAGATATTGGACCATTGAACGATAGGTAAAGATTGTGGAGTTTAGCTCCGCTATAAAGTTTGGGGGGTGTGGTTAGTATGATGCTTAGAGTTACACTTATGTTAGTTAGTGAGGGTTTGTGGACAAAGTCAACGTGAGAGTTAGGATCACAGGAAGAGTTTTTGTAAAGGTTAGGGTTAAAAGAAGAATTGGTGTGAAGGTTAGATTTCCAGAGAAGGCTAGGGTGAGAGTTAGGGTCACAGTGAGGGTTAACGTGAGGGTTAGGGTTTAAAGTGAGGGTTAACGTGAGGGTTAGGGTTACAGTGAGGGTTAACGTGAGGGTTAGGGTTACAGTGAGGGTTAACGTGAGGTTTAGGGATACAGGGAGGATAAATGTAAGGGTTGGCATTACATCAGGGCTAGTGCAAAGCTTACAGGAAGGGTTGTTGTAAGGGTTAGGGTTACAGGGAGGGTAAGAGTGAATGTTGTAGTTACAAGGAGGGTTAGTGCGTGGGTTGGTATTTTAGAGATTTATGCATGGGTTAGGGTTACAAGGAGTGTAAATTTGAGGGTTAGGGGTACAGGGATGGCTAGTGCAAGCAATAAAGAGAGAGTTAGTGTGTGAGGGTTTGGAGTAATAGGTAGGGTAAATGCTTGTCTTGGAGTTACAGGGAGGGGGAATGTGAGGTTTGGAGTTACAGGGAGTATTATGAGAGCTAGAGTTACAGTGAGAAATAATATGAAGATTAGGTTACAGGGAGTGTTAACATGAAGGTTAGGGTAATAGGGAGGCTAAATGTTAGGGTTGGGGTCATAGGGAGGGTTCGTGTTAGGGCTACAGGAGTGTTTAATGTAACAGTCGGAATTATAAGGATAATTTAGTGTTAGAGGCCTTTAAATAGAGCAAGGCTCTCAGTCCATCACCAAAAGAACCAGTGTTGAAAGCTTCACCTTCCATTTTATGTTTGGAAGAATAATACCTTTGCACTATGTGAAGGCGCAAGGCTAGAAACTAATATGGGGAAACCTTGCCATCCTCACCAGTATTGTCTATCCAATTGAGGCAGAAGAAGCCAGTAGGCAATTCAACCACCTAAAATTAAATAAACATATGTTTTATGTAGCAATGGCCTTAAAATTTTTAGTACATTTCTGAAAACAAAACATGATTAGTGGTTTGATTATTCACTTGCTGCTTAACACAATTATTTTATGTTTTATTTTTAGAGCAAATGAAAAATCTAGGACAATATCCTGAGTTTGGTCATTAGATTGTAGTACTACTATAGTAATATTTAGGTTGGAATTGCTAAAATCTAGGACACCAGTTTATTTTATTCTGAAACAACACCTACTCTGAAATTTATATTAAAATATGTTACTAACTATAGCTGTAAGTAGATGGCATAAAGGAGAACTCCAGGGAGAACACAACATGAAGATGAATTTACCTGTGTATGCTTTTTATTTTTAAAATTTTATTTGACGGGAAAAATTGCTCCAGACATTTTTTGACTTAAGTAGGAAGTAAAACAGTACAGCTGACTTGCCTAAATACTCAAGTTAAAGCAGACGCTCTGTGCAGCCTAAAAAATGTTCACCTAGTTAAATTCCTCCAACTTTTAGAGGTCAGGTGCAATGCTTTGCCCAATCACAACACAATGCACTGTGAGAGCCATAACTGGCCAAAGTCACGGGTGCTTACGCTGCAGCCTTATGCAGTGTGTTGCTGGACAGTGCCAAAGACAGAGGAGAGAATATTCTCTCCAAAATAAATACACAATAATAATTTAAAAATAATATAAAAAAAATATATAAATAAAACAAAAAATACATTAAAAAAAGAAACAATGTGGGTTTCCCCCAATCCATACCAGGCCCTTTAGGTCTGGAAGGAAGGTTAGTAGGGACCTAAATGGCCTGGTAGGAATTTTAAGGGGAGCCCCACCTCCCAAAAATGAGGAAGGAAAGTGCTTGAGTTTTCCCCTAAAAGCCCTACCAGGCCTAAAAAGGCTGGTATGACTTTAAGGGGAACCCCACTCCCAAAAATGGGGGGAAAAGCATGGGGTCCCCCTAAATTCCTACCAGACCCTTGATCTGAGCACAGGCCTGGCAGGGCAGGAAAGTATGGGGCGATCGAGTGCCCCCCCGTGGCTTACTAGGCCACATGTCCTCAGCATGGGGACAAGGACCTCTTCCTCACAACCCTGGCCTGGCGGTTGTGGGGGTCTGCGGGCAGAGTGGGCTCATTAGCATAAGCGTACCCCTTTAAACAAGGGGGCATCCTGGTGCTACACCCCCCCCCCCCCCCCCCCCGTGAATGAGCAAGGGGTACTTGTACCCCTACACATTCACTAAAGGGTTAAATTTAGAAAAAACAAAGACAACAGACTTTTGAAAAATGAATTTAATTGATCAAAAAGTAAAAACAGATTTTGAAAAGTCCTTTCATTAAAAAAAAGCCAAAAAAGGGAAAAATGTCACCGCCAGTCACATCTGTTTGTTTACATCTGACTGGCAAATGTCAGACC